AAGGGCATTCAGGAGAGTCAGAAGTAGCAACAGCAGATAAGGAATCAAATGAAGGACTGAGTGATAAGGAGGTTTCCCATAGGAACCCACCTGCAGCTACGGATATCAATCAATGTCTGATTTACAAATCAGAGCTGAAAATATATTGCATTGTTCAGAGAGATGACGTAAGAAAGTCATGAAAGAAATTCACGGGAAGCGGAATGATGTCATGGGTGTCTATTATATGGCAGTGTCGATGTGGCTGTTGTAGATCAGTCCCGAGAGGCTGATGGTTTAACTGATGATCTAGAGAGGATTGTGAGTTTTCCTGTGACACAAAGTGATGGGCCTTCAAGTCTGGGAAATTATGGTTCTGCGAGAAACCCACCTCAGAAAGTGCAGGGCCTCAAGGGCATTCAGGGGAGTCAGAAGTAGTAACAGCAGATAAGGAATCAAGTGAAGAACTGAGTGATAAGGAGGTCTTCCCATAGGAACCCACCTGTAACTACAGAGATCAACCAACGTCTCATTTACAAATCAGAGCTGAAAATAAATTGCATTGTTCAGAGAGAAAGTCGTGAAAGAAATTCATGGAAAACAGAATGAAAACAGAATGTCATGGGTGTCTATTATATGGCAGTGTCGATGGGGCTGTTGTAGATCAGTCCCAAGAGTCTGATGGTTTAACTGATGATTTAGAGAGGATTGTGAGCTTTCCTGTGGCACAAAGTGATGGGCCCTCAAATCTGGGAGATTATGGTTCTCTCTTGGAAAGTGCAGGGCCTCAAGGGCATTCAGGGAAGTCAGAAGTAGCAACAGCAGATAAGGAATCAAGTGAAGAGCTGAGTGATAAGGAGGGTTCCCATAGAAACCCACCTTCTCTCTGTGAGAAACCTGGCTCGGAATGTGCAGAGCCTCAAGGGCATTCAGGGGAGTCAGAAGTAGCAACAGCAGATAAGGAATCAAGTGAAGAGCTGAGTGATAAAGAGGGTTCCTATGGGAACCCGCCTGCAGATACAGAGATTCACCAAAGTTTACAAATCAGAGCCGAAAATAGATTGCATAGTTCAGAGAGATTACGTGGGAAAGTCATGAAACAAATTCACAGGAAACAGAATGATTTCATGGGTGTCTATTAAACCAGTAGTTGTTTATCTTAAGGTCAGTTCAGGCAATGCTGTGTTAAAGTGAGAAGCTAAGCCTTGTTCCTGGTTCAATTCAAGCTTGATTTTGGATTGAATAAGTATATTCTGGAAGATTTCTATGTTCCTGTTCATGTAATTATATTCCTGGATTCTTGTGTGGTGGGATAGTCACAGGCATTTCCAGGTCTGGAGTGCAACAGGGGCCACCAACAAGAAGGTTTGAGGAGTTGCAAGAACACAGTGGAAGTACTTTGATACCCCTTTAATTGCCACAGCGACATCCTGCAGAATCCTGGGATTTATAGTCTGAAATGTCACTAAAGTTCTCTGGTGAAGAATTCTAAGTACGTCCTGAAACTACAAAGCTCATGATTACAATTAAAGTTGTATTGAAGTGCTATCAATTTGTGAGCAGACCTTGACTGTAAGGTTAATATGGTCTCACTAAACTAATAACAAGGATCCCTGTTGCACATTGCTCACCAACAATAGTAATAAAAATTATTATTATTACTATTATTATTATTATTATTATTATTATTATTATTATTATTTTAGATCTATCATCTGCTAAAGGGGCTCCTTTCACACATCTATATAAATAAAAAAGTAATGTTCGTTTGTGGGATTAACAGAACTCAAAAACCACTGGATGAATTGACACAAAATTTGGACACTATACCCCTAACAGACCAACAAGTGACCATCACTCAGTGGAAAGGATTGAAAAACCAAATAAGGTAAATGTCGAAAAGCTAAATGACAATACAGGAAAAAGGGAAAGAAGAGGGAGGGAGGGAGGGAGGGAAGAAGGGGAAGGAAAGAAAGAAGGAAAGATAGAAGGGAGGAAGGAAAGAGGTAGAAAAGGAAGAAAGGAGAGAAAGTGGAAGGAAAAGAAAAGGGGGAAGGAAAGAGAGGTAGAGAAGGAAGAAAGGAGAGAAAGTGGAAGGAAAAGAAAACGGGGAAGGAAAGAAAGAGGTAGAAAAAGGAAGGAGAGAAAGAAAGAAAAAAAGGAAAGGAAGGAAAGGGAGCGAAGAAAGGAGGGAAAGGAGAGAAAGCGGGACAGAAGAAAAGAAAGAGAGAGAGAAGGAAGGATGAAAGCAAAGAGTGAAGGAAGGAAAGAGGTAGAGAAGGAAGAAAGGAGCGAAAGTGGAAGGAAAAGAAAGGGGGAAGGAAAGAAAGAGGTAGAGAAGGAAGAAAGGAGAGAAAGTGGAAGGAAAAGAAAAGGGGGAAGGAAAGAAAGAGGTAGAGAAGGAAAAAAGGAGAGAAAGTGGAAGGAAAAGAAAAGGGGAAGGAAAGAAAGAGGTAGAGAAGGAAGAAAGGAGAGAAAGTGGAAGGAAAAGAAAAGGGGGAAGGAAAGAAAGAAGTAGAAAAGGAAGGAGAGAAAGTGGAAGGAAAAGAAAAGGGGGAAGGAAAGAAAGAAGTAGAAAAGGAAGGAGAGAAAGTGGAAGGAAAAGAAAAGGGGGAAGGAAAGAAAGAGGTAGAGAAGGAAGGAGAGAAAGAACGAAAAAAAGGAAAGGAAGGAAAGAGGGAGTGAAGGAAGGAGGGAAAGAAGGAGAGAAAGAGGGAGGGAAGGAAAGAAAGAAGGAAGGAAGGAAGCAAAAAGCAAAGGAAGGAAGGAAGGAAAGAGGTAGAGAAGGAAGAAGGGAGCAAAGGAAGGAGAGAAAAAGGGAGGGAAGATTGGCCACAGCAAAGCGTGACAGGTACAGCTAGTGAACTAATAACATATTTATGGCGGGTTTTCTTCTCTTCCATTTTAGCCTTGACCGCACACATGTGAGTCTCATCCAGTAAAACCACAATCTCATGTTCATGCATGGCTTTTCATGGATTACAAACCACAAGGCATGCGTGAACAGGTCGAGTGTCACAACGCTTGTGCGCCTGGCCCACATCGACAAAGCGCAACAGGACGCTCTGGTTTCGGCACAGAACCAAGCCCTCCTTTCCTACTGCAGAGATCAATCACGATGATAAGCTGCTGAGCAGACATTCGTATCAGATGGCAGAGGCTCCTTGCATTGCCTGTTTTGCGTATTATTGCCTGGATGTTTTATGCTATCACTGACTGTTTTGTTTACGGACGGCATTCGGAGCCATTTTTGACAGCTCCCAGTAGGATCGCGGGATTTGAACCCGTTTCTAAACTCATTGGAGCAATGGGAAGAAATTGCAGGTCCCTTCTACTGTTTCCCGCTACCCTCCCATGACCTCTTGGTGTTACATCTGGCCTTTTTTCACAATACTTTAGTGACCTTTTGGGGTAACATCTGGGCTTTTCTCACAGCCCTTTAGTGAACTCTTAAGAAAACAGCTGGCTCTTTCCTACAATCTTCTAGTGACCCCTTAAGATAACAGCTGGCTCTTTCCTACAATCTTCTAGTGACCCCTTAAGATAACAGCTGACTCTTTCCTACAATCTTCTAGTGACCCCTTAAGATAACAGCTGGCTCTTTCCTACAATCTTCTAGTGACCCCTTAAGATAACAGCTGGCTCTTTCCTACAATCTTCTAGTGGCCCCTTAAGATAACAGCTGACTCTTTCCTACAATCTTCTAGTGACCCCTTAAGATAACAGCTGGCTCTTTCCTACAATCTTCTAGTGACCCCTTAAGATAACAGCTGGCTCTTTCCTACAATCTTCTAGTGACCCCTTAAGATAACAGCTGACTCTTTCCTACAATCTTCTAGTGACCCCTTAAGATAACAGCTGGCTCTTTCCTACAATCTTCTAGTGACCCCTTAAGATAACAGCTGGCTCTTTCCTACAATCTTCTAGTGACCCCTTAAGATAACAGCTGGCTCTTTCCTACAATCTTCTAGTGACCCCTTAAGATAACAGCTGGCTCTTTCCTACAATCTTCTAGTGACCCCTTAAGATAACAGCTGGCTCTTTCCTGCAATCTTCTAGTGACCTCTTAGGATAACAGCTGACTTTTCCCAATGATCCTTCAGTGACCCCTTAAGATAGCAGCTGCCATTTCCCTGTGATCCTTTGGTGATAAACCTTTAGTGACCTCTTAAGATAACAGCTGGCTTTTCCTGTGACCTTTAATGACCTCTTTGAGTTACAGCTGGCTCTTTCCTACAATCTTCTAGTGACCTCTTAAGATAACAGCTGACTTTTCCCCATGACCCTTCACTGAGCCCTTAAGATAGCAGCTGCCATTTCCCTGTGATCCTTTAGTGATAACAGCTGGCCCTTTCTCGCAACCCTTTAGTGACCTCTTAAGATAACAACTGACTTTTCCCATGACCTTTAATTATCTCTTTGAGTTACAGCTGGCTCTTTCCTACAATCTTCTAGTGACCTCTTAAGATAAAAGCTGACTTTTCCCCATGGCCCTTCAGTGACCCCTTAAGATAGCAGCTGCCATTTCCCCGTGATCCTTTAGTGATAACAGCTGGCCCTTTCTCGCAACCCTTTAGTGACCTCTTAGGATAACAGCTGTCTTTTCCCGTGACCTTTAATGACCTCTTTGAGTTACAGCTGGCTCTTTCCTACAATCTTCTAGTGACCTCTTAAGATAAAAGCTGACTTTTCCCTATGACCATTCAGTGACCCCTTAAGATAGCACATGCCATTTCCCCGTGATCCTTTAGTGATAACAGCTGGCTCTTTCTCACAACCCTTTAGTGACCTCTTAGGATAACAACTGACTTTTCCCATGACCCAATAGTGATCTCCTGGGGTAACAGCTGGCTCTTTCCCACAATCTTCTAGTGAACTCTTAAGAAAACAGCTGGCTTTCCCCCACACCCTTCAGTAATGCCTTAGGATAGCAACTACTCTTTATTGCCTTCTTGAGGTAACAGCTGGCTCTTTCCTATGAGCCTCCATCCCACCCCATCCACACTCTGTGCCCAACTCACTGGAAAGCCAGCCCAGATGGGGCATGAGCCTCGGAGACTGTTCTGTGGAGCGACGGTGGTGGTCACCAGGAGACTGAGGGTCACGATCAGGACCCCCAGGACCATCTGGATGAAGCCCAAGAGCAGGATGATCTGAAGCCAAGCACGGCGGACACGCAGGTGAGTGAAGCTGCGGGACGTGCGCGCGGTCAGTGAGTAGCTGGAGTCACTGCGAGAGGGCATGACGCTGCCCCAGAAGAGGCGGATGGAGGGACCCCAGAAACAGCCACGGAGCGGACCCACCGAAGTCCACGAGGCGCCACCTTCCTCTGCTCTATGGCCTCATTTTTCACCAGAGGACAGCTTTAGTGAGCCTGCCCATCTCCAAAGATATATATATGTCCCGGATGTGTCTTGCTTCCTTAATTTTTGACTCAAATTGGGGTTCATTGACAAGGTAGGTAAAATATAGTTGGTGGTCTCAGGAAATGAAGCATGGATTAAAAGCAAAGTGCAGATGGTTCAAGAGCACTGTCTTTCCACATCAAAGCATCATGAATCTCTGCTATCCACTCCTTCGAACAATGGGGAAGTGGGAAATTAAGACGGAAAGGGGACTTGTGGGTGTTTTTAAGCAGAGGCTGCATGGCCATCTGTCAGGAGGCCTTTGATGGTGTCAAGGGTTGGACTGAATGGCCCTTGGGGGTCCCTTCCAACTCTAGTGTAATATACACTGCCTTGGAGTCCAATAGAGTCTCATTCTCTTAAGGTTTTTAAGCAGAGGCTGGATGGCCCTCTGTTGGGAGGGCTTTGATGGTGTCAAGGATTTGACTGGATGACCCTTGGGGATCCATTCCAACTTTAGTGTAATATAGCCTGCCTTGGAGTCTGATAACAGTCCTTCTCTGAAGGTTTTTAAGCAGAGGCTATATGGCCATCTGTTGGGAGGCCTTTGATGGTGTCAAGGGTTGGACTGGGTGGCCCTTGGGGGTCCCTTCCAACTCTAGTGTAATATACACTGCCTTAGAGTCTGATGCATTCTCTTGAAGTTTTTAAGCAGAGGCTGGATGGTCCTCTGTTGAGAGGGGTTTAATGGTGCCAGGGGTTGGACTGGATGACCCTTGGGGGTCCCTTCCAACTCTAGAATAATATAGCCTGCCTTGGAGTCTGATAGACTGTCCTTCTTTGGAGGATTTTAAACAGAGGCTATATGGCCATCTGTCGGGAGGCCTTTGATGATGTCAAGGGTTGGACTGGATGGCCCTTGGGGATCCCTTCCAACTTTAGTGTAACATAGCCTGCCTTGGAGTCTGATAGAGTGTCCTTCTCTGTAGGTTTTTAAGCAGAGGCTATATGGCCCTCTGTTGGGAGGGCTTTGATGGTATCAAGGGTTGGACTGGATGACCCTTGGGGGTCCCTTCCAACTCTAGTCTAATATAGAGTCCAATGCAGTCTCATTCTCTTCAAGTTTTTAAGCAAAGGCTGGATGGTCCTCTGCTGAGAGGGGTTTAATGGTGCCAGGGGTTGGACTGGATGGCCCTTGGGGATCCCTTCCAACTTTAGTGTAACATAGCCCGCCTTGGAGTCTGATAGAGTGTCCTTCTCTGTAGGATTTTAAGCAGAGGCTATATGGCCATCTGTCGGGAAGGCTTTGATGGTGTCAGGGGTTGGACTGGATGGCCCTTGGGGGTCCCTTCCAACTTTAGTGTAATATAGAGTCCGATGCAGTCTCATTCTCTTCAAGTTTTTAAGCAGAGGCTGGATGGTCCTCTGTTAAGAGGGCTTTGATGGTGTCAGGGGTTGGACCGGATGGCCTTTGGGGGTACCTTCCAACTCTAGTGTAATATACACTGCCTTAGAGTCTGACACATTCTCTTGAAGTTTTTAAGCAGAGGCTGGATGGTCCTCTGTTGAGAGGGCTTTGATGGTGTCAGGGGTTGGACTGGATGACCCTTGGGGGTCCCTTCCAACTCTAGAATAATATAGCCTGCCTTGGTGACGGATAGAGTCTCCTCCTCTGGTGATTTTTAAGCAGAGGCTGAATGACCATCTATCGGGAGGGCTTTGATGGTGTCCTGCATTGCAAAAGGGGGTGGACTAGATGGCCCTTGGGGGTCCCTTCCAAATGTAGGATTCTATGATTCTATTCCAGATGGGAATGTTTCTCAAAGGGGTCATAGATGGGTCCAGAGAAGGCAAACGAAGCCTGGAAAAGAAGATGTCCAAACTTAGTCCCAAATCACCAAACCGCCGGCAAACCAATCTGATGCTGCAGGAGAAAATCCAAGGATGGTGGGCAAGGAAGAAAAGTTCATACGATGGGTGCCGTTCCTTTCTGGCCGAGACAACGAGCCCACAAATTAAAACATTCACCAGGAAATAAAAGTTTGCAAGACTTGGTTGCTCTTAGCCTTTGACTTCCAGAAGAAAGGGGACGCTCTTCTTGGATCTTGAAGGCCTCAAACTCTGATCTATCTGGAAGAAAGAAGAGTCATGGCTGTGAAATAAGAAATACATACAAGTCGGATACAGATTTATGCCATTAGGAAGAACTTCCGGATAGTAAGAGCTGTTCGGAAGAGGAATATTATGCTTCCCGGGTGTCTGGTGGAGACTTCTTCCCTAGAGGTTTTTAAGCAGAAACTGGATGGCCATCTGACGGGAAGGCTTTGATGGTGTAATGCAGAGCTTCTCAACCTGGGGGTCGGAACCCCTGGGGGGTGGCTGCGAGGGGGTGTCAGAGGGGTCGCCAAAGACCATCAGAAATTGGTCCAGAGGTCTTTGATGGTGTCAGGGGTTGGACTGGATGACCCTCAGGGACCCCTTCCAACTCTAATGTAATATAACCTGCCTTGGTGACATAGTATTTTCTGTTGGTCATGGGGGTTCTGTGTGCCAAGTTTGGCCCAATTCTATCGTTGGTTCGGTTCTTTAATTGAAGGTGAACTATAAATCCCAACAACTATAAATCTCAAATGAAAAAATCAACCCACCCCGCAACCCCACCAATATTCAAATTTGGGCATATTGAGTATCTGTGCCAAGTTTGGTCCAGAACCATCATTGTTTGAGTCCATAGTGCTCTCTGAATGTAGGTGAACTACAATTCCCAAACTCAGGTGAATTATCAATCCCAACAACTACAAATCTCAAATGAAAAAATCAACCCACCCCGCAACCTCACCAGTATTTAAATTTGGGCATATTGAGTATCTGTGACAGGGCCTTCTCGGTGGTGGCCCCTCGGCTATGGAATGCCCTACCAGCGGACATCAGGCAGGCCCCTTCGTTACTGGTGTTTCGGAGGAGGGTGAAGACATGGCTCTTTGAACAGGCGTTCAGTTAATCATGCAATTACAACTAACTCAGGAAGACGGCATTCTGAACAAGGAACGGTAAAACGACTGTGAGAACGGGATCTGATTCTATTTGAGGCGTTGATGACTATATGTGTGTCGTCTGTTATTGTCTGTTTATATATTGTCAATGTGTTATATTTTAGTGTAAACCGCATTGAGTCGCCGTAAGGCTGATAAATGCGGTATATAAAAGGAGTAAATAAATAAATAAATAATAAGTTTGGTCCAGATCCATCATTGTTTGAGTCCATAGTGCTCTCTGAATGTAGGTGAACTACAACTCCCAAACTCATGGTCAATGCTCACTAAACCCTTCTGGTATTTACTGTTGGTCATGGGAGCTCTATGTGCCAAGTTTGGTTCAATTCCATCGTTGGTGGAGTTCAGAATGCTCTTTGATTGTATGTGAACTATAAATCCCAGCAACTACAACTCCCAAATTACAAAATCCATTTTTTTTAGTGAAGGACATACATTGGGTTGTTGTCTTGTGTCTAAATTTGGTGTCAATTCGTCCAGTGGTTTTTGAGTTCTGTTAATCCCACAAACTAACATTACATTTTTATTTACATAGATAATGTTATGCAGTATAATACTACGACTAATAATATGATATTATAATTATATATTTATATTATGCTAATAATATTCCAATATAATGGTATAGTACAATATAGTAATATTTAATACTGATATTGTGGTATGCTAATAATACAATATACTGTATGTATATATATCTTGTAAGGCGCTCTGAGTCCCCTTCGGGGTGAGAAGGGCGGCATGTAAACGTTGTAAATAAAATAAATAATAATAACAATAATAATCATTAGTATTATTATTTTGGAACAGGCCCGTAGCGAGGGGGGGGGGGGTTAGGGGTTCAACCCCCCCCCTGAAATGTTTCAGATTTTTTTTAAAAACCTGGTTTACTCATGAATTTTAACTGGTTAACCAAATCCCCATGCTAAGTCTATGAGATGCAAAAAATTAAGAGTCCCTCCAGAACTGCAAGCACTATCCCAAACTTTATTTGCTTTGTATTAAATGTTTGCTTGCAGTCCTAGGTTTCAGGGACTCTGCAGATAGGTGGCTTCTTTGGTTGCAGTCATAGGGCAAGTCACCTGTCCATCATCGTTAAGTTTTGGTTCCGCCCCTTGCTCAGGGCAATTGGGAAGGGAAGGGAGCCATTTTTAGTTAGTCTCAGCAAGGTAAGCTTATGTATAGGATGTGTGCAAGCTTCCCCTGTACAAAAGCTTCAACCCTTAAGACCTTCCGGGGGAGAAAGGTCTTAAGAGTTTCCAAAGAATTTCCAGGAAAACAGCCCTAAAGACCAAAGAACTCCAGCTGGAGAACATCTACTGCCTTGCTGGTAGGTCCACTCGGCGTTCGAGACGCAGTTCGACCCGGTAGCGGAGCCCACATCAGTAAGGGTTAGATTACAGTCAGCCTGGGAGAAGTTAAAACGGGGATTTTCCTTTAAAGAAGAAGTTATTGAAGACAGTTGCCTGTCCTTTGTGGGCAAGATTAGGAATTCACCAGTTGCCTAAAAGCTTGGAATCATTTGCTTAACTTTACTGAAGACAAGAGAAGTTTCTGTTTGATTGTTCATTAATAAAAGACTTTGTTGTACTTCTCAAGCCATCTAAAGACTGTTTGTGGTGGAAACCTCTGAGAACTTCTCTTTAGGCCCCCTGGCTTCCTGCTGGGCAAAGGTTGCACATCCTGTTCTAAAGACAATTATTTACAGACCCAGCGCGTGACAGAACAGTAGTGAAGCAACCAAGTTGGGGGGGGGGGGTGTGTTGAATGCTCTCATTAAGGAGGCCAGACTTGGTGGAGGTGGTTGACAGGGGCGGAGCTGCAGGCTATTGAAGGCTGCTCTGCCCCCTGCTGTGCTCTTGGCTTCAGCGTGAGCTAGGAGGCAGGTTTCAACCCCCTCCCCCGCAAAATTTTCAACCCCTCCCGAAATTTTTTTCTGGCTACGGCCCTGTTTCAAAGTATCAAATTCAATGACTGATATGAAATTCTAAAATAAAAGTAGTGCTACAATTAGTTATAAACACTGTTAAACACCCAATATTAAGAATTAACCACTTGGAGTCTTGGACCTGAATCTACAAAACCACCCACTTTTGTGTCCCGTCCCCCTACCCACATTTGCCACAAAATTCTAGTTCAGTGTTTCTCAACCTTCCTAATGCTGCGACCCCTTAATACAGTTCCTCATGTTGTGTTGACCCCAAACCATAACATTATTTTTGTTGCTACATCATAATTGTCATTTTGCTATTGTTATGAATCGAAATGTAAATATCTGATATGCAGGATAGATTTTAATTCACTGATTTTAAAGTCCTCCTCTTTTTAAGTAATGATGGGTTTGTGGGGGGGGATTGATTTTGTCATTTGGGAGTTGTAGTTGCTGGGATTTATAGTTCAACCTACAATCAAAGAGCATTCTGAACCCCACCAACGATAGGAACCCTGTTTTGGTAAGTTGGCTTCTTAGCAGCTTTGGAAGTGGACTGGGTTGGACTCAGTAACTGCACCAAAGTATTTCAGGAGAAGCAAAGGGAGAGGAACTTTTGCTGGTGCGTTTCATAGAAAGAGTTGGAAGAGATCCCAGAGGCCATTCAGTCCAACCCATTACACCAGTGGTTCTCAACCTTCCTAATGCCATGACCCCTTAACACAGTTCCTCATATTGTGTTGACCCCCAACCATAACATCATTTGCGTTGCTACTTCATAACTGATTTTGCTACTGGTATGAATCATAATGTAAATATCTGTTACGCTGGATGTATTTTCATTCACTGAACCAAATACATCCAAATAGTGGGATTGGTGGGGGGGGGGGGGGGGGTGTTGATTTTATCATTTGAGATTTGTAGTTGCTGGGATTTATGGTTCACCTACAATCAAAGAGCATTCTGAACTCCACCAATGATGGAATTGAACCAAACATGGCACACAGGACTCCCACGACCAACAGAAAACACTAGAAGGGTTTGGTGGGCATTGACCTTGAGTTTGGGAGTTGTAGTTCACCTACACCAGAGAGCACTGTGGACTCAAACAATGATGGATCTGGACCAAACTTGGCACAGATACTCAATATGCCCAAATTTGAATACTGGTGAGGTTGTGGGGTGAGTTGATTTTGTCATTTGGGAGTTGTAGTTGCTGGGATTTATAGTTCACCTACAATCAAAGAGCATTCTGAATTCCACCAATGATGAAATTGAACCAAACTTGGCACACAGAACTCTCATGGCCAACAAAATACTGGAAGGGTTTGGTGGGCATTGACCTTGAGTTTGGGAGTTGTAGTTCACTACATCCAGAGAGCACTGTGGACTCAAACAATGATGGATCTGGACCAAACTTGGCACAGATACTCAATATGCCAAAATTTGAATACTGGTGTGG